TTTGGTCATATACCCAATTAGCTCTTGGTGTGACTGTAAAGTACAAATTACGGTAGCTCTGTTATCGATTATACCAGTTTTACGGTCCTTTGAATGCCCCTGCAAGGTTGCTAGAGCCGAAGTCGGTTCATTTACATCTATTAGACTGCGTAGTCTTTCATGGGTTTTCCAGTGTTCATAGACACCGTTCGGTATTGTCGTAGCAGGCGAGGCCAGTAGATAATTTCGTTGGCGCACCCTTCATTGTTCTTTCTCTAGTCGTGGAGAATGTGGGAGGAGGAGAGGTTGCGTGTGAGGTAGCAATGACGCCAGTTACTACCTCCGTACACCTGCACATCTGAAAGGTGTCTCCTGTTAAAAGTGAAATCTGTTCAGGTATGTACGAAACACAACTGCTCGTGCTTTTGCTGTGGTCGCATCCGCACTCGGTATACCAGCACTACTTCCTTTCTTGAAAGCTGTATGTAAAAGCAGAAAGAGTTGGCAAGCGAGACATACAGGTAAGAATTAATTTTTCTTGATATTTATCCATTTATGATGGCAGACTTCTCTATTCAGGAATCAAAATTGTCCAACAAATGGCTATTCTTATGGGTTGTGCAGTGCTCCCACATCTTAAGGCTCTTGTTGAAATTGTTGAAGGTGGACTGGAAGACGAACAGCAAAAGGTGACTCGTTTGTGTCTCTTACGGAGAATTTACTGATATGCCTTCATCTTCAGGTGCGTACAATCACAGCTTTATGTCTTGCCGCTCTTGCCGAAGCTGCTACACCTTATGGTATCGAAGCTTTCGACTCCGTGCTGAAACCGCTGTGGAAGGTTAGCTGTAATCGATTTTGAAGATACTGTATCTTCTATCAGCTAATGTACTGGTTTTTAAGAATGCTATTTTAGGGTATTCGTATGCATCGTGGTAAAGGTCTTGCCGCATTCCTTAAAGCTATTGGTTATCTGATTCCCCTTATGGACGCTGAATATGCTTCCTACTATACTAAAGAAGTGATGCTTATTCTCATTAGGGAGTTTGCGTCACCTGATGAGGAAATGAAGAAGATTGTACTCAAAGTAGGTTTTAATTTTCTTTGTAGTTTGATGTGCTTTGACAAAACAGTCATCTATATTTTCTTGTTAGGTCGTGAAACAGTGTTGTGCTACTGATGGTGTTGAAGCGCCATACATTCGTGACGAGATTCTGCCACATTTCTTCAAAGCTTTCTGGACGCAACGTATGGCGATGGACAGGAGAAATTACAGGTGAGCATGCTCCAAAGGGGAACCCCGCTATTGTATGTTGTGGGTAGTGGTGCTTAATACCCATATAGTCGCAAAGTGACTCTTCAGGGAAGAAAAAATCAAAAAAATCAGAGGGGAACACTATAAGAACCCCCAGCCAACCTCTTTCTGCCAGTTATCCGGACCTATACGTTTTATGCCGACAAAGCGAGATGCTGACGCTCCTTTCTCGCTGATCGTTTGCTCGCGTCAACCAGCGCTGGCATCATCTAGCAAAAAAAAACACGATGAAAATCAGCGAAAAGGCGTTGACATGAAACGATTTCAACAATTTTTAACCTAGAGGGAGCGGACCAAATCAATTCGTATCTGGTCCTTATCGCGATCCTCCGAATCACAATGTCCTTGAAGGAGCGGAGAATCATGCGGTCTAATTGCTTACGACATTTTTCTCTGAGGGTTTCGTAATGATTTTTGAGAAAATCTCCTACATGTAATTCACAGGCAACTTGTGGATACTACGTCGAATGGCGCAAAAGGTGGAGTGGCAGAAATGATTGCAAGAATTGTAGATGACCTCAAAGATGAGAATGAGCAATACAGGTATCATGCTGCTTCTAATGTCTCCATTAGTTTGCGCTCTTCATTTTTCACTAAAGGGTCTCATTTCAGGAAAATGGTTATGGAAACTGTGGAAAATATTGTTGCACTGCAAGGTGCGAATGAAATTGATTCCCGGCTTGAAGAGCAGTTAATCGACGGTTAGTTTTTTTTCATTTTTGAGGACACATTATGCGACTACTCAATGTGTAGAATTCCTTGCTTGCTCATGGTAGCCCGATTTCCGCAGCTAAAACGACTGGGAGTCTATGTGAAAGTCAGACTCCTCCCAGCCTGTGTCATTGGCCGCTAACTGCGGCCTTTAGTTAAAACAGGAACAAATGAAATAATCACGATCGTAGTGGTGAAAGTGAGATGGAGGGGGAAACGAATTCATGCCATTATGAAAACGACGAAGAACTCGTACAGAAGCGGGCTTTTCCTTCAGTTGATTGCTCAGAAATGGAGGGGTCTTATATAGAGCGCTCTCAAGGGTTTCTTTTGCTTTTTCATTGTTGGTAAATTGACTAGTTTTTATACTGCTGTTTTTTTAAGCGCAGTATTTACGATTCATAATCGATTTATAGTCGCGAAATGTGTCTTTAAATCTGTCAGATTTTTCTCCTTGATGGATCTCTGAAGTGGCGTCTGATCCGAGGAATTTTTTACAGGTATTCTGTATGCATTCCAAGAACAAACGCAAGAGGATGCTGTTATGCTTGACGGTTTTCGGTACGGTGTGTAAAGGTCTAGGAAGGTATGTTCATCAACACGTTCCTGTTAAGGATAGCCGTTCTTTACACAAACTAAGTCCTTTTCCAGGCGAACAAAGCCGTATCTTCCGCAAATTTGTGGTACAATTTTGTGGCGTTTGAACAACAAGTCGGCTAAAGTGCGACAACAAGCAGCTGATCTTGTAGGTTTTAGAGCATTGATTTACAAGGGCACTGTTATGGTCCGAGAGGTGTTGCATTGAAAATCATGGCCGTTTTTAGATTGCCCGAGTTGCCCCGGTCATGCACATCTGCGAAGAAGAAAAACTTATGGGGCATTTAGGTGTAGTGTTGTACGAGTATCTCGGAGAAGAGTACCCTGAGGTATGTTGAAGTGTTGTGATCGTGTAGAAGTTCACTTCCTAATGAATATCTTACTAAAGGTACTTGGATCAATTCTTGGAGCGTTGAAATCAATCTGTAATGTTATCGGAATGACAAAAATGACACCTCCTATCAAGGATCTTTTGCCCAGGTCGGTGTGCCGTTCGTGCTACGAACAAGGGAATGGTTTGAAGTTCCACTTGAATGGAGACCTAGGTACATCGATAGAGTCTCGAATGCTGATTACGAATATGCAGATTAAAAGTGCTACGGGGACCTCCCAGACGAGTTCTGGGCGGTCAAAGTTTGCGAAAACTCAGTTTTGGCTCGTAAGCGCTGCTGATCGGTTGTTGGGCAGTGCCACCGTGGCCTAGTGGTAACGGTCTCGCTTCAAAGCCAAATGCTCAGTGGGTTTGCATCCGACGGGCGCGGAAATTTTTGCATCGTCCTCTATGGAAGCTTTTACTCTAAAATTCGAATCCTCCGAGTTTAGAGCAGATCAAGTATGTAACGGTATTTTGACCCCTGAGCACGAATATCACATCCGTTTGACGCGAAAACGATCGGTTCCCTCGTTCAGTTGATGACCACAACAACGTGAAAGCAAGCGTTTTCTCGTCAAACGGATGTGATATTCGTGTTCAGGGGTCAAAATACCCCCAGGAACGAGTTTCTGGCCAAAACTTCGAATTGTCGGATGGGTAATGAGTTCAGAGAGGGCAGATAGTGACCAAATCCAATACTCGATCTTCATATATTGATTTACTTGATCTGCTTGCTTTGGACCGTAAACTCAGAAAATTCGAGAGCTAGAGTAAATGCTCTTATAGAAGGCGAAGCAAAAATTTCCGCGCCAATGGGATGCAAACCCACGAGCATTTGGCTTTGAAGCGAGACCGTTACCACTAGGCCACGGTGGCACTGCCTAGCAATCGATCAGCAGCGCTTACGAGCCAAAACTGAGTTTTCGCAAACTTTGACCACCCAGAACTCGTCTGGGAGGTCCCGTAGCACTTTTAATCTGCATATTCGTAACCGAGACTATCGATGTACCTAGGTCTCCATTCAAAGTTCCATGGGAAGTTAACCATTCCCTTGTACC